CTGCAGGAAGAAGGGGGGGGGCTGGTACGCCGCGCAGCCGGGGCAGCCGGGCCGGCTTGGGGCCGGCTTCTTGCCGAAGGGTGACGAGGCGTAGAGGGACGGGCCGTTGGTCAGCACTACGTTGCGGTTGCAGTGGAGCGGCGGGATGTGGGAGTGCACAGCGAAGTCGGGCTCCTCCTCGTCCTCCTCGGACTCATCCTTCTTGCAGCAGTAGTACTGAAATGGGATGGCCCCACGGGGCCGGGGCTCAGCCGGCACCCCAAACCGCCCACCCTGTCATTGAGGGGCTGCTCCGTGCACACCAGCCCGGGGGACTGGCAGGCAGGGGATGCCCGGGCTGCCCGCATGTCCCCTCCCCATCGCAGCACCCTTTCGGGCCGCGTCCCCCCAGCCTTACCTGGAGCCTACAGTAGCAGAGGACGGCGATGATACAAAGTAGAATGACAGTTGCTAATATTCCACCTGTGATGACCACAGTCCCGGCTGTCATCCGCCCTCTTCTCCATTAACAGCCTGCAAAAGAGAGCCCATGGGGTGACGGGGTGCGGTGGGGGACGGGGTGAGGCTGGCGCTGGGCGATGCACTGGGCAGCAGGTCCCCAAACCCTCAGCTCACCCCCGTTTGCAGGGGGCTAGAAACCAGGAGGGCTCTGTGGGTGGTGGTGGGCAGGATCGGGCCAGATCCTGGCACTGGCTGCCTGTGAAAGCCATCAGGGAGTCCCTGTCCCCCCTAAATGCCACCTTGCAGGTGCAAAGGGATAAAGAAAGCTTCATGTGGCGGGTGAGAGATTTAGTGAGCAGCAGCTCTGGGGTCACAGTGGGCTGTTCTGCATGCGGGAGGGGGGACCCAAGGGAAATAAAACCTTCTGCCCAGTGCCCGTGGCACTCAGGGCACCCTCCTGGCTCCTGCCTGGTGGCGGAGAGCTTCAGTGATGGGAGAAGGAGCTTTGCAGTAAGGATTTCTGAGCCGTACACATTTTTCTCCGAGCCTATAATCCATTTTCCTCATGAAAACAATGTGGTATTTTAATTTGGAATAACTGGAGCTGCTAAGTGAGCTTTTAATGACCGCAGGGAGAGGCGCTCTCCCCTCCCTGAGCAGTGAGCTGGGGTACGGGATGTGTCTGCCCGCCGCAGGAGGCACCGAGCTCCTCGCCTTCGCCGCAGCCAAGCCACAGTACCGGGGAGGCTGCGGGGGCACCCTGGGACGATGCTTCTGACAGCCTCGGCCAAGCTGTTCATTCCCACCACAGCAAACGCTGCAGCTGGGACCAAGCGTGCTGGACATCACGGAGATGCCGTGGCTCAGCTTGGCCCCGCGCTTGCGTTTGGGGTACCAGCAGCAGCCTTCTCTCCCTGGAGTTCCCCTTAGAGGAATCTGGGTGCTGAAACAGAACTGGTGGTGGTGGAAGGTCCCTGCTTCTTGCACCGCCGGGCTCACCCAGAAGGCGGATGCTGTGCATCAAGCGCAGTGCACGAGCCCTGCAACGCCAGCACGGGTCTTGCTCTGAGCATCTCCGCTCCGAGAGCTCACAGGAAGGCTTGAACTTCCCTCCATCCCACGCAGAATAAGACCAAACTCTTTGCCACAAAAAGGATGCTGGGGAGACACGTACCTGCCTGCACACACCTGCTAGCAGCTATGCAGACAGCGGCACTAACATCAGTGTCACTCTGCAGCTAAGGCTCCAGCAGCCCTTTAATGCCGCAAGTGTCGGGCTGGGAACAGGAGAAGCAACATAAATTAAGTGAGAAATTGTACCCTGACCACCTACTCTACAAGCGCTTTAACAAAGCTGGCCTCCAGCTCACGCTATCAGGTTAAAACAAAACCCCAGTCACCCCAGCCCCAAATTACTTCAGCACCCGAGGAAAAGCAACCGTATCTGTCAGGGATTTAACCCGCTTCCAAAGAAAATAAATCTGTGGCATATTTTCAGGCGCTTAATGTCCTGCTAAAGTTGGGTAAGTGCTGAATGGATAAAGCAGTATCACATTTTATGTTGCTGCTGAGCAGCGCTGTAGGAGGGAAGGTAATTTATAACGACATCTGAGCACCTTCTCGCACCGCGTGGCCACGGGGCAAGCGCCGGGCCAAATCCTGCCCTCATTCCTTGGGCAAAATACTCTGAGGAGGCTCGGGGGGAGGAACACAGTCAGGGGAAGGTTTTGCAAAAAATGCATTAGTGATTTAGAAACTTTGGTTCCTGTTTAAAGAGGGATGGAGGCACTCGGCTGCAGACCTCGGGCTGCACCGGGTGCTGTGGGTGCATGCACCGGCCTGGCAGAGCTGGCTGGAAACGCTCGTCCGTGGGTTCGTCGCTGCTCCCATTTGCAATCACTGTGCTGCCACGGAGCCCAGGGCAGGGGACCTGGCTCTGGGGTGGCCGGGCTCAGCTCTGCAGCTTCTCAGGGACAGGCACTGCACCCATCAGAGAGGACCAGCATCTTAGCAAGCTCCTTGCCAGCCCAAGATGAAAGGTGGCAGGCAGGGCTCGGGCAGGGAGGGCTCCATGGCTTCCTCACCGGTTAATTAAACAGCTGCCTAACCTGGGGGGCAGTGAGGGTCGCACAGAGCCAATTTTCACGGTTTCTGTCCAGCCACAGCCAGCCAGACGTGGCATCGCAGCCACGACTCCATCCAGAGCAAGACCATTTGCATGTCGCTCTTTTTTTCCTCCCATAACATACTTGTCTGATTAAAGCTGCGTACCTGGAACCATTAAACTCTCCAGCGTGCAAAGGGGGAGGAAAGCAGAGCATGTGGAGGCCCATAAGCAGAACAATTCCTGTCTAGACCTCCTTTATACATTTGTTCCTAATTTCACGCTCCACAGGCTCCCAGATTCATATATTTAGTAATAAATATCCTGGTAAAAGGAAGTGCTTTGCAGCTCCGCTGTGGTCTTGGAGAAAGTATGCAGGAGCCCTGGTATTAGGAACGCAGGCACCGAGAGACGCGGTCCCAGCAGACGGTCGCTTGGCTCCTTCCTCGCCCCTCGGTAACATTAGGAGCCCTCGAGCTACCGAGGATGCCTGAACACCCCCCCCAGCCCCTCTGCCCCATCCAAATCCAGCCCCCAGCACATCTTCCATCGCTGCCAGACAGCAGGGAAGGGGCTGCAGGGGGATGTTAACTCCGCACAGGCTGTTTGCCCCCAGCCCAGGAGCCCTTTGCTGTAGGAAAGCGGTCCCCAGCGCCGCGGGGGTGACAGGGGATGGAGCCTCTTGAGGTTACTGCGGGCAGACGGGAGCTTGGGTGCAACACTCCCCCCTTCCCCGGCACCCTGCTTTACTTTCCCAGCACGCAAAGGACGGGTCGTGCTGCAACGAACCGAAGACACATCGCTGCATGGTTGCTACAGGCTGCTCCTGGATGAGCTGTTTGGTTTTAGACAATCCTGTGCCGCTTGCCTGCTTTTGCCAGGACATCTATCGCTGCAGCTACAGCGGCACCAGCCCTGCAGCCCTGCAGCAGCTGGGAAGTCCCAGCGTGCGAGAAAATGGCCTTTTCTAATCCTTGCAGCCTGGAGAAGACACGAGCAGAGGTCCCATCGGCTCCAGTCCCGGACTGGTGGCTCCTTTCCTTGCTGACACCCCCTGCACATCCCTGCTGTGGC